AGTTCACATCTATATATCTCTGTCTGATTCCTAGGTTGAAATCTTCTTTCCAAAGCTTCCATCAAACTAGTATAGTTGTACCTGTCTACTGTCGGAAGAGAACTTAGTACTTGCTGAGCTGGACCCATCAAACTTCCAGCTAAATGTAACCCTCTTTCGTCTCTAGTCCAGCCAGCCATTAATGATATTACAAGTTTCAAAATGAGCTTTATAATCCATTAATGGTGTGCTTCCATCATACTTTTCCGCTGGCAATACTGGCTTTCGGTAAATCTGTCTTTGCTGTTTTGGCTGAAACTGTGTCTGTACTGGAGCTCTGGACTGTAAATATCTACTTGGATAATCAGAGAAACTTGACTCTTGAATTGGACTTTCACTGTAACTGAGTCGACGTCTTAGAGGAGGACCCTCTAAGTGTAACTTTGTATCCTCGACCATGTTTTGCCTTTCGTCTGTTAAAACTGGTGGCGGTCTGTTGTCTTTAAGGCTGTAGGTTAACTCCTCTAGTTCTCTCGACAACTCTGTTAACCGGATCTGTCGTCTTTCAATTTCTTCTGGAGTTATTTCTCTTTTGTCTGTTCGAGAACGATGTGAATTGGATTCGGCCATCGTCTCTAAATTTCTGTAAATCTGTGCGAGGTATCTGTAAAGGGAGAGCTTTTTATAGCATCCCACCTCTGCCACCAAATGTGGCGCGCTTTTTCTATCTTCTTCTTCTGTCTTTCGCCACGAAATGGTGTAGCGGTTTGGTAGTGTGGGGAATCTGCCGCAATGGTTGCTCAGGACCCACACCCCGGTAATTTCTCTGCCACCAGTGATCTATTGGCCGATCACAAGCCGTTTAAAGTAGAGCCTCTTCAGAGGAGAAGGCGGACTAGCTAAAAAGTAGTTGTGCTATGTTCGGCTCTCTCTCTTCGAACAAACGGAACAAAACTGTATAAAACTATAAAGTTTTATTATGTATTATAACATATATACAGATAAGTTTAAATGGACTGGGAAAACTCTTTTATACAATTTATAAAGAGGCGAACTGTCCCAGTTCAAGCCGTTCTGTGATCTGTTCTGTGTAATAGCTAAAAGCTATACTGTTCATTAACTGCAAGCAGTTAAAGGCTGTATTCTTTTCATTAAACGCAAGCGTTTAAAGTCTGTATCTGTTCAATAGATGCAAGCATTTAAAGGCTGTATCTGTGTTTAAACGGTTAGCACGTGCGTGCTGTATCATAAAGTCTGTCATTGAGTCTACTGGTGTGGTTTCGAATCCCCAGTTGTACCACGAAATGGTGTAGCGGTTTGGTAGTGTGGGGAATCTGCCGCAATGGTTGCTCAGGACCCACACCCCGGTAATTTCTCTGCCACCAGTGATCTATTGGCCGATCACAAGCCGTTTAAAGTAGAGCCTCTTCAGAGGAGAAGGCGGACTAGCTAAAAAGTAGTTGTGCTATGTTCGGCTCTCTCTCTTCGAACAAACGGAACAAAACTGTATAAAACTATAAAGTTTTATTATGTATTATAACATATATACAGATAAGTTTAAATGGACTGGGAAAACTCTTTTATACAATTTATAAAGAGGCGAACTGTCCCAGTTCAAGCCGTTCTGTGATCTGTTCTGTGTAATAGCTAAAAGCTATACTGTTCATTAACTGCAAGCAGTTAAAGGCTGTATTCTTTTCATTAAACGCAAGCGTTTAAAGTCTGTATCTGTTCAATAGATGCAAGCATTTAAAGGCTGTATCTGTGTTTAAACGGTTAGCACGTGCGTGCTGTATCATAAAGTCTGTCATTGAGTCTACTGGTGTGGTTTCGAATCCCCAGTTGTACGTGACACGGAGAATGGTCGCCTGTCCAACCTCGTGGGTTTTCTCCGGGTCCTCCGGTTTCCTCCCACTGCTAAAGACCCCTACGCGCAAGTGAATTATTGAAATAAAATTGAACCATGTGTTAGTCCCGAAATGACCTAGTTTGTGTCGAGTGGACGTTAAACCCCATCTCTCTCTCTGTGTTTAAACTGCAAGCAGTTTAAAGTCTGTTCATTAGATGCAAGCATCTAAAGGCTGTGTGCTCAAAGAGCATTCCTCAAGAACTATAGGTGTAATTACTAGAGCTTCGCTTCGACCCAGGGTACTAGTGCGGGATACAGTCCTTATGTAAACAAAGTACACATTGTCAACAATATAAATGCAACATTATTTAACAGATGGACATAATGTGATTTATGATTAAGTTGATATACAAGAGTATCATTTAGTTACGTTTAATAAGTTATAGGATATTCACATAAATTATAATTGCATGCTATATATTCAAATTCAGCTATTTAAGTAAAGGGGAGATAATAATAATACTCAATAATATTAGACAATGTATTATGGTACATTTCCAACAAAATAGATTATACAATAGGGATATAAACTCACTAATAGTATGCAAAATAACAAGACATGGGCTTCTATTAAATTATAAAATTAAACATAATATATGGCAGATAGCAATATTATTATAAAACTTAGAAAGAGTCTGTCAACATACTATTCACAGAGTTATCAAATATCCTTTCCCTCACTAGATATAACTACAGTGTCTCTTGTACTTATCCTAGGAATAAATGTATGTGTGAGTCTGTCGGAAGGAAGAATGTTGGACTATCATTACTTGTGCTATGTTGTGTGCATTTTAATACTAATATTTTGTAATTCACTTAAATATGGCTTTTAGCCATTTAATCCCTATGTAGCTCACTACTCCTCTGATGTTTTCGTAACATGTATGGCTTCCCTTTTGTTTGGTTTAATGGTATGTTTACCCCTATTATCAGTCCTTTATTATTCCCTTGATGTACCCTCACCTAACCAATCACATCATGTATGGTTTCTCATTTGTCATGATTGGTTGTCCAATTAAAATTATGTTGTTTTTTAATCCTTTGATCTTGTTGTTGTCATGCATGGTTTCTGAATAGTTGTTATTGCTTGTCTATATACAATTGCTCTACACATTTGTTACTGTACTTGCTTGACAACGTTGAGAGAATACTCTTCGAAACGTCGCCCACATAAATCAGTAATTGTTCTTCCATAAGTATGTGTTATAGTTTATAACTAAAGTGACCTATATCTAAATATAGCTGTTATAGTCTCGACTATTTAGGCGTCTACAGACTATAAATAAAACAAATACTAACAAAATGAAACTAGCTTTGCCACACTTCTGAGGTTAAAGATTCCCCTTCCTTGCCTTTATACACCTCTAGACTATATCTCCTATAGCAACTATTGATGTTTACATACCTCCAGACTATATCCCCTATAACAACTATTGATGTTTACATACCTCCAGACTGTATCTCCGTTCGCCACTATTGATGTTTACATACCTCCAGACTATATCTCCCTTCGCCACTATTGATGTTTACATACCTCCAGACTATATCTCTTATACCAACTATTGATGTTTACATACCTCCAGACTATATCCCCTATAGCAACTATTGATGTTTACACCACCTCTAGACTTTATCGCCCATAGCAATTATTGATGTTTACAACACCTCTAGACTTTATCTCCCATAGCAACTATTGATGTTTACAACACCCCTAGACTTTATCTCCCATAGCAACTATTGATGTTTGCATACCTCCGGACTATATCTCCCATAACAGCTATTGATGATTAAACAGCTCCAGATTATATCTCCCATAGCAGCTATTGATGTACTTCCAGATTTGATCTTTCGTAGCATCTAGTACCTCTAGGTTATATCTCCCATAACAACTATTAATGTTTACACACCTACAGATTTGATCGCCCATAGCAACTATTAATGTTTTACACATATCCAGATTGTATTTCCCATAGCAACTATTGATATTTTAAGATGAATATTCTCCGTACCAACCTTATGTTTAATCATTACGGCTTAATTTGAGATAATATTAACCCCCAATAACGACGTGTACACGGTCAGCACTGGTTGATGCCTGGTGATAATCGTTATAGTTTGTGTGGATGTATCAATCAGATAGCAACCTATCTCTACGGTTGTTATTCGAAATTCAGCCATTAGTATTTCTATTTCGAATAATAATCTTTATTTGGGAGCCACGGTGATTCATTGATTTTGGCCGAGAACGATCCTCTGGGTTTCTACTGTCAGTGGTGCTGGGCGTTGCAAGGAACCTTCCTGTCCAGGTGGACGTAGCAAGGAACAGCAGCTAATTGTCGTGGCAAGGGCAATGAGACGACAAAATGAAGTGCTCTGCTCGCGTTGGCGCTCTTGTAAAAGTAGCTTTGGCCGTGGAATTGAATTTAAAATATTCAATTCGGTGAGAAACAGCGGTATATGCTGTTGCCTGGGCAAAATTTCCCTCACAGCACACTACATGGCGTATGCCCGTCTTCATTAGCCCGCTTAAGACGCTATTTCATTTCCCTAAACATATTAATCTTTAGACAAAACCAGTACTGAACAGTAGGACCTTATAGCCTATTCTATTTCCCATTACATATTAACCTTTAGACCCACCCTGTGCTGAACATTAGTATGTTGTTAAAGCCCATTTTTTTTCTTTAAACAAAACTAAAAAATAATCTTTAGGTCTTCATGGTCTTGATATAAACAACAAACCCATGAGTTATATGGTTTCAAATTTCAAAACTTAAAAATATGAAAATAATATAAGTATTTTTTGTTTTTTTAATTAAATAATATGAAGCAGTACAAAAGCTTAAATTTTTGAAGAACGGGTCCATAGCTGGCTAGTTGTAACCAAAAATGTTACGCACTTTCTAGAACACCCGCTACCACTTCCATTTTTAGGGAGTTCATGCAGCTAGCAGATGTTAGTTATACTCTGCATTTGAATTCAGGATTCTTGCCGATTTGCTTAAATTTGGTTAAATCTTGGATCTCTTGCGGGTCATTTTGTGTCAAACCAACGATAAATTATGTATTTGTTTATGTATGTTAGTATTATTATTTTCTTTTTTATACATAGCATGAAAAGGCGTCGATTAAAATGTTTGAACATTTGATAAAAGAAAACACCCTAGAAAATGATTTTAAAGAATATAATTTGAAGCCGGAGGATATAGATTTTATTAAAGAACAAATTGCTGGACCATCCAATGAGGATAAAGTAAGTTTATTGTCATAATATTATTATAGCATTATATTAAGATCGTTCAGATAAAATAAGTTTATTATAATAACATTGTATTTAAAGCTTTAGATAAAGTAAGTTTATTATTATAACATTGTATTAAAAGGTTTAGATAAAGTAAGTTTTTTTATTATAACATAGCTTTAAAAGGATCAGATAAAATAAGTTTATTATAAATAACATTGTGTTGAAAGGTTTAGATAAAGTAATCTGTTATTATAACCATGGATTATTTGTTTAATTGTGACTATGTTGATTTTACTATATTTGAATTTCCTACATTGTTATTTGAATATCCTACGTTGGTATTTGAATATTCTATTCATTTTGGTCAATTTTTGTGTGCTTTAATTACTAGAAACTATAAATCTTTCAACTGTTAGTTTGTATGTTTTGGAATATTATCTGTACATGTTACTTGATTACATGGAATTAATAATAGTAAATATTTCATAGTCCGAGACAAATTACAGATTAATGTTTAGTCGTTTGTTCCAGTCACTAAGTTTTTTGGCTGTCCACTATTTGTTGTGAACAATTTGAACGGTATTAAGTAATTGAACACATTAAAATTAAAACACAACAGTTCTATGGAAAACAATTACTGTATTTCAATCGGAACTCTGTTTAAGATATTGTAGTGAGGTTAGGGGTGGGGGCAGCTTCATACCAGAAGTCATCAAGTTCTGTATTTAATGGGAAGAAGCAGGGGGGCACCGGGGCGCTAACAAGGAAGTCTCTTTCTTGCTCCCTGTTTGGCCGAGAAAGTTCCACTGAATTGCCAATGGTTGACGGAGAGCCTGCCAAGAAAAAGTGTTTAGTTTTTGAATGGGACGGAATAGAACTATTGACAGTTGAAATTCGAAAAAGGAGTAGGCAGTAGCGTCGCAGTCTTGGCAAAATGTCCCTTAGCAAACTGCATGACAAGTGTCTAGCTCAGTCTTTCTGTAATTAATGATATAATGTATTGGTCTCTAACTTTCTAGGATGGTCAACCGGTGAATATTTATTGTGTTTAATTAAGTTAGCTTTGTGAAACCCGAGTATCCGTAGTAGGAGACTATTAAAGGAGCCCATTCTTTAACTCAGTAGCATCCACACGACATAGCAAATACAACTTATTGGTCAATTTAAATCAACGTTGATGGTGTTATCTTACCGTGAAAAGTTGGGCTTCTGATATATCCAACATTTAAGACAAAATGAAAATTTTAAAATTGGCACACGAATGGTGCGCCAGAATGCTTTCGGGCGCCAATTGTATAAAGCGACTCGTTGAACGTTGTAGTAGAATATTTCTGGTGTAGACTAGATTAGCTAAACGCCAAAGACTGCCATTCAATTCAGACTCTTTGCGTATTTCGCCGAAAATAACTGATTACAGTAAAACAGAAACATTATTATATGTCCATTTCTAGGTGCCAAAGAATTGCGATTTAGCTCCTTTAAAATGTATTTATTTGTTTGCGTCCGTGAATATGTCCCCGAGTCTGTAACATCTTTTAGGACATAATAACTTCTAATTGAACTAGAATGTTCGAACTTGGTGTAGATGTTTATTAGATGAATTTCTCGATTGAATTCAATGATGAGCCAGTTCTGCTTAGGCTAAGCAGAGGTAAGCAATTTGATTGGCTGATACTTTGGGACACGATAACTTTTCTTTTAATTAAAGATACGTCATGATTGGCGCCCAACCAGGATATACATGAAATGGCTGTCTAATGGCCGATACCTGCATAGCATTATAGCGGTCGGATTTAGCTACTTTGTGTGCCTAGTATGTGATTTGTTTTGGATATATTGAAACTTTTTATTGGCATATCTGTTTATATTCATTGTTTGTAATTTGTCCTGAAGATTGTAAAACCATGGACCGTGTATAGATGAGCAGGCAACGTCCACGAAGCCTTTAGAATTCTGTGCCGCGGCAAAAAATAGACCGGGCAATCGTGACTAAAATAAAATTACCTCCCATGGTGTAATTACAGAAATCAATTCATAATATTTTATTTTTATTAATCTTGCTTTTTTTTTTTTGCAACCCATGCAGAGATAGACTACTAACTGATGATTGGGGCGTAAATGTATCAACACATCGTCTTTGTTTACTTCGGACGCGCCCATGTGAATGCGAAAAAAAACCAAACCTACTAAAACACGCTTTTAAATTTTACTTCTGCATAATTAATCATCATTCCGGACAGTATTGTACCTGAACTTTATTTTCATAATTTTAAAATTCTTCATACATGCGGACGTATATTGTCGTCGCCCCTGTCCGTCCACAATTTGTTTGTGGACACTCTACAGGTCACAATTCTTATCCGATTTTGACGAAACTTGAAATATAGGTTTATCTCCATAAGATCTCGGTTGCTTTCGATATTGGCATGTATCGGATCGAAACTTCATGGATTATGGCCCCTGTTTGTCCGAAAAATCACGTTTTTAGCCTGTGGACCCTATAGAGGTCACAATTGTTATTCGATTTTGTTGAAACTTGAAATGTAAGTTTATAACCCAAAGATCTCGGTTCCGTTCGATATTCATGCATATCGGACTGTAACTTCCTGAATTATGGCCCCTGATTGTACGAAAAATCGCGTTTTTAGCTTGTGGACCCTATAGAGGTCATAATTTTTATCCGATTTAAAAAAACTTATTATTATATCACCGTTACACCCTAAGGACGGCTGAGTTCCAATTTCGTGAAAACTTACAGACAAAATGGTCGCCCTTCGTTCTCAAATAGCGTAAAAATATGGTATATCAAGGTTGTGGACCCTATAGAGGTCACAATTTTTATCCGATTTTGTTGAAACTTGAAATGGAAGTTTATAACACAAAGATCTCAGTTCCTTTTGATATTTGCGCATATCGAATTGTGATTTTCTGGATTATGGCCCTTGATTGTAGAAAAAATCACTTTCTTCTTAGCATGTTCTCTATCCATCTCTTGCAAAATGTGGGCGTATCTTGCATGGCAACCGCTGGTTAACTTCTTCTCCAACACCAATTTTGTAGGTGCCTATGCTTATTTGTCATTAAATTAAAGCTGATTACCCACAAGAATAGGCAAGTGTAGACACTCTCATCCAACCCACTGATGGGTGATTGTTCAGACTTTGGCTTTTGTTTATCAACATACCCCTAGCAGTCCTGTGATAACCGAGTTTAATAAAACAATATAAGGTGCGGACCACAGCTTATGAATGTTGGGAGGGGGTGGGGTGGATGGCCGAGTGGTTAGCATGTGCGCGCTGCATCTTAAGGTCTGTCATTGAGGTGTCATACTGATTCGATGTCTGTGCCAGGGGGGTAGGATCATAAAGTCTGTGGTACAGGTATCTGATGTACCTGTATACTAATTACATATATTAGGGACCACAACTGACCCTGCTTGTTGATTATCTGCTATACCCGTAGAATAATTACACAATATTTGGTTAGGGGCCACAGCTGACTCCGCTTTTTGATTGTCTGCTATACCAGTATAATAATTAAACAATAATAGGTGGGGGAACCACAACTAATTCTGCTAGTTGATTATTTGCTACACGCTTATAAATAATTATTCATGTGTTTTGGGTTAAAAATCCATTTTGTATACCGGCGATACACAGATCTATATAAGTTTCGAAACTAAAAACCAGCTCAGTTTAAAACATTCCATAGAGAAGCCTGTTTAGTTGAATTAAATCCGGCGAAATCTTTTCAAATTTAGTTTGAAGCATCGTGATCATGAACGGATGGATCTTTTCGAATTTCACCGATTTGTGTCATTTCGTTGTGATTGCGATAGAGGCAATAGTTTTCGATGAATACTTTTTAAATTTGGTTTCAAACATTGTGATCATAAGCGAACGAACACTATGGATTTTCAGCGTTCTTCGACTTTCCACTTATTCCATTCCACTTTTGACAAAAACCTTGTGAACGGGATAGAGGCTGTAGTTTTCGACGTTTTTTTTTTTCAAATTTAGTGAGCAGCGTCGTAGTCATGAGATCACGGACCCTGTCGATACTCAGCGTTCTGCAACCTTTCGTACCAGAGGTATTCTCCCTTTTTTCGAAAAGCTTGTGAACTCAATAAAGGCTACAGTTTTTGTTGGATTCTTTCCAAATTTGGTTGTTAGCAATGGGGCCGTGAGAGAATGAACCCTGTCCAGCTATCCACAACTTTCCATTCCGGAGTACTCCCCTCTTTGCCTAAAGCCTTGCGAAATACAAGCTACAATGTTTTAATAGTTTTTTTTCGAATTTGGTTTCAAACATTGGGGTCATAGGAAGACGAACCGTATCGATATTTAGTGTCCCTTTACTTTACGTTTTAGAGTTATCCAACCTTTAAGAAAACCTTGTGAAAAGGATATGGGCTGTAGTTTTGAATGGATGTTTTTAAAATTGTGGTAATGATAGGATGAACCGATTGATTTTCAGCTTTCTGCGACGTTTTGTTACAGAGTTACCCCCCTTTCCATGTGGACGTATATAGTCGTATCCCCTGTCCGTCCGTTCGTTCACATTTTGTTTGTGAAACTTCTACAGGTCACACTGTTTATCCGATTTTGACGAAACTGGACATATAAGTTTATATTTCAAAGATATCGGACGGTAACTTCATGGATTATTGCCCCTGATTGTACGAAATATCATGTGTTTAACTGGTGAACCCCCTTGAGGTCACAATGTATATCGGCTATCCGATTTTGATAAACTTCAAATGTATGTATATATCCGAATGATCTCGGCAAATTTAGATAACTGCCTGGGTTATGGTCCCTGATTGTACGAAAAATCACGTTTTAGCTTGTGGACGCTCTAGAGGTTACAATTTTTATTTGATTTTAAAAATTGTTCAAATGTATCACCGTTACAGCATAATTACGTTTCGGTCCGAATTTCGTGAAAATCGGATGGAGACTGACAAAATGATCTCTCCCCGTTACGCAAATGCAAAGATTGTGGACCCTCTAGAGGTTACAATTTTTATCCGATTGTGTTGAAACCTAAAATGTATGTTAATATCCAGCCATCTCGATTTCTTTCGCGCATATCAAACTGTAACTTCCTAGATCATGGCCTCTGATTGTACACAACATGATGTCTTCTGCTTGTGGACACTTTAGAGGTCACAATTTTTATCCGATTTTGATGAAACATAAAATGTATGTTTATATTCCAATGACCTCGGTTCCTGTCGATATGGGTGCATATCGGATCGTAACTTCCTGATTGTACGAAAATTCACGTTTTGGACGCTCTAGAAATCATAATTCTTTTCCGATTTTGATGAAACTTAACATATGTGGCGCTTTCCGATATTTGTGTATATCGGACTGTAAATTCCTAGATTAGGTCAAAAAATTTATTTGATTTAAAAAAAAGTTCATATATATCACCAAATTTCTGGAAGAGTTTAATTTTGGTGCGCATCGGACCTTCCTTTCTGGAGTTATGCCCTTATATAAAGTTTGTAGACCTTCCAGGGGCTGTAATTTTTGTCTGATTCAGATGAAACTTAATCTATATGCTAAGGATTAAAAAATCTTGAATGTGTTCGATTTTAGTGCACATCAAAGCTCAACTTCTTGTCTAATACAGCATGGATTGTTAATTCACATTGAATTATTTCGGAAGCACGCTTGGGTTACAGAACAAACAAATTTATTTTTTGTGTTTAAAATGAACACTATTGAAACACTATATCTTACAAGATGAGGGTTATATCATGTATTTACTGTCAGTTAATTTGCTAATACACAGCGGACTGGAGAATATTAAAATGTATCATATTAAACCGTGTATATTTTGTTCGCTGTTCATTGACCTCAATTTAGGCTAGTTACCTTAACCTATGCAATATCCATGACAGATTAGGACAATATTTTTAAAAATGTTCCTTTCACCAAGTCTTTTTTTTTAACTGATTTGTTTTCCATTTTCGCTGTGAAGCACTGGGACAATGAGACGATGAACCCTATTGATTTTCCCTGTTCCCGTCTATAAATGTTTTTATTTATTCCAGACTTATAAAGGTCGACCCAACAAGAAATATCTGTATGAAGTAAGTTTATAAAAATATAAAAATATTTAGTCTATAAAATACGTGTGTCTATAAAATACCTGTATGACGTAAGTTTATAAAATATTTGTATGATGTAAGTTTATTTTCTTGTAAAAACTCTAATTATTTTTTTTAATGTGGCGGTATATTGTCATCCCCTGTCTGTGGATCTGACTTTCCGTTATCCTCATTTTCTAACGTTATCATCCAATTGATGTCAAATTGATACACAGTGTTTATGTTAACGAGGCACTGTGGACCTATAGAGGTTAAAAGTACAATCCATTTGACACAAGAAAATCAAATTTTAGTTATTTCTAATAATTACTTGATCAGTTTTTAGTGTCTTCCATTACCTATAAAAGAATCACTGAATGAAATGAGGTTTTTAAACCAAACGTCCTACTTGTCTGCGCCTACCGAGCATATACTATACAATTTACCCCGGTTGTTAGTCACATTCGAACGACTACGAACTGTCTTTGCACGGTCCTGCATCGCTGGGAAATCACACTGGACAATCCTGAGGAACTTTCTCAGTCAGCGCAGGGATTGATCCCAGGACATATGTTTCGTTGCCTGACAACCTAATTTGATTTTATGTTGTAGATTGTAGCTAATAAAAGAAATTCAGTGGACGTAGATAAATTTGATTATTTTGCTCGTGACTCTTATATGCTGGGTTTCAAGAACAATTTTGATCACAATCGTTTCCTGCAATTTTGTCGTGTCAACGAAGATGAAAATGGTGACCAACGGATCTGCATCCGTGATAAAGTAAGTCCAATTTTTATACGCGCATTTATATTTTTGGACGGTATGTTATCGTGTTCATCATTCAGTCACAATCTCTGTTGAAGGCTGTAAGGTAGAGTTAAAACGAAGATCTAGATCATATTTAAATTGGTCATATCAGAAAGAATCACGTCGAATATCACATTTATTGGATAGTAAATTCTGAGCTCTTTCTGGTCGTGTTTGAACTTTTAAAACTTGTGTACGTGATACCAGACAACGTTCTCTATGGATTTTGTTTAAATAATTTGTAGGAATTTTTGTTTTAGCCTATGGTGGAACTCCAATTAAATTTGAAAATTTGAGTTATTACCACGTTTTATTTACTTTTTGACTTTTTAAAGAATTCTCTGTGGCATTTTTATACGCCCACATTTCAGTGTTGGCGTATAATGTCGTCACTGTGACCGTCTGTCGTTGATCCATACGTCTATAATTGGCTTTGACGAAACTTGAAATATATGATTATATGTCAGAGATCTCTGTTAGTTTCGATATTTGCGCACATCGGACTGTAACTTCCTGGATTATGTCCCCTTATTGTACGAAAAATCGCGTTTTAGCTTGTGGACCCTCTAGAAGTCACCATTTTTATACGTCCACATTCACATTGCCGTCGCCCCAGTCTCTGTGTGTGTATGTGTGTGTGCGTGTGTGTGTTTTTAGCTTGTGGACCCTATAAAAGGTCATAATTTTTATCCGATTAAAAAAAAAGTATTATTATATCACCGTTACACCCTAAGGACGACTGAGTTCGAATTTCGTTAAAATTGACAGACAAAATGGCCGCCGTTCGTTCTCAAATAGCGTAAAAATATGGTATATCAAGGTTGTGGACCCTATAGAGTTCACAATTTTTATCCGATTGTGTTGAAACTTGAAATGTAAGTTTATAACCCAAAGATCTCGGTTCCTTTCGATATTCATGCATATCGGACTGTAACTTCCTGAATTATGGCCCCTGATTGTACGAAAAATCGCGTTTTTAGCTTGTGGACCCTATAGAGGTCATAATTTTTATCCGATTTAAAAACCGTATTATTATATCACCGTTACACCCTAAGGACGACTGAGGTCGAATTTCGTGAAAATCGGCCCAAAATTGACAGACAAAATGGCCGCCGTTCGTTCTCAAATAGCGTAAAAATATAGTATATCAAGGTTGTTTACCCTATAGAGGTCACAATTTTTATCCGATTTTGTTGAAACTTGAAATGTAAGTTTATGACACAAAGATCTCAGTTCCTGTCGATATTCGCGCATATCGAATTGTAATTTCCTGAATTATGGCCCTTGAAAATGTGGGCGTATCCTGCCTGGCAGCCGCTGGTTTGTATTTGTTTGTTTGTCGTCTACAGGTCGCATTTCAAACTTTGCATATTTATTTCTTATACCCTAAGGATCATCACTATGTATCATTTCTTAATGTATCATCTTGAAACTTTGCATACTTATTCTTTGTAGCCTAAGGACACCCTATCTTTGTGTGTGTCTGTGTATCGCCTACAGGCCACAATTCTTACATTCTTACTCGGTCGTCTTGAAAAAATTTCGTATGAATTCCTTATACCCTAAGGATGATCCCTATTGTTTATGGTGCATGCCCGACCCCCAGTTGCAGAACCACACCCATTTCTTGTATTTATTTGTTTGTCATCTACAGACCAGATTTCTTATCATATTACCTTGAAACTTTGCATACTTATTCCTTCTATCCTAAGGAACATCCCTATAGTTTTTGGTCAATGCCCAACCCCCAGGGGCAGACTGAGGCACGGACATTTTCTTTTTGTGTGTCAGTATGTCACTTACAGCTTGCAATGCTTAATCAGTCGTCTTGAAAACTTTTTTATACTTATTCCTTATACCCTAAGGCTGACCTCTATTATTTTTGGTGCATGCCCGACCCCCTGGGACAGAGCCACACCCAATGTTTGTGTGGTTGTGTTTCGCCTACAGGCCACAATTCTTAACAGATCCTTTTGAAACCTTGTATACCTATTCCTTAAACCCTAAGGATGACAACTGCTTGTCCCTACCCCCAGGGGCAGAGCAACGCCCAATTTTTGTGTTTATCGTTTACAGGCCGCAATTCTGAATAGATCAACTTGGTACTTGGCATCTGTATTCCTTATAGCCCAAGGGCGTCAACTATTGATTTTAGTGAATGCCCTGACCCCCAGGGGCGAAGGCCACAATACTGAATGGATTATCTTGGAACTTGATATACTTATTCCTTATACCCTAAGGACGGCAACTATTGATGTTGTCATTTCAATAACAGGGTGGTGCCTATTTATATTGTTCCATATTCAACGTCCACTTCCACCAGGGGTGATATCGTAGACAAATCGATAGAGATAAGGGGGCATAATTTATAGGCGACAACATGTAGTGCGAGTTATAGACAAATTTTTCCCCGTCCTGCATTTTTGGGTTGACCTTTTGTAGACCGGAGGCTCAGCGCGCGGGGGGGGGGGGGGGGGTCCAACAAATGGGCACAAATTCAGACCTAACCTTTCTAAAGTAAACTTTTGCGTAGAATACGATGCCGAGTGGTAATCAGTCCGCCGTTTTGGCGTTTTCGAGATATTCGGGGTCAAAGGTCAAATGAGTTCATTTGCACTGAAAGTGAATGCGCAGTCATTTTGTATTATGAAAAGAAGGTGAAAATGATCGAAAGTAATCACACTTTCAATAAAAATGTAAACTTGCTAAATTCACCTGGAGGTCAAAAGGTGAAATTTACCGTTTTTGCAATAGGAAGATTTGAAGCAATAAAATGTCAACGTAAAATATAAAAACTAAAGCGAAATCTGTTCTAATTAATAATAAGAACATTTAAAATTTATCTTTAGGGGGTCTTAGCACCGAACTTTTACTTTGGAACGTCGAAAATGATCTTGCATAACAGAACACTCTTCGGAACCTGTTTCAAAAATACGTAAGTGCACTGTACTTCACCGCGTTTGGGCCCAACAAAACCAGGTAGCCCAGAACTGTCCAATCCACCACCTACAAAATGCGGAATTGTGAATATAAATGGTTGCAAACTGAAATGTTTTTTTTTAAGCCGAAATAAGAGAAAAGTGGATACCAGTCATAATCAGTCGATCACCAGCAGCGTTAACTGGCTTCTTGTCACACTAAGGCTGGGAGCCATCAAACAAAGGGGGAGGGGTACGTACATTGAGCGCAATTGGATTTTACTATCACCGGATTTGATTGGAACAAGTGTTACACATCAGACAAAGAGGGACCAGTGTTCTCATTGGGGAATTTCCTTGAGTATTTGAGGTAAATTCGATGAAATATTTTCGGAAGGGAGGACACATAATTACATGTATGAAGGCAGGGTAGGCGGTTCCAATGACATGGCTGTAAAGTCTGCTAAGACTTTGACAAAAGACTTTTATTTTAAAGCTTAAAGGTTTTACTCTATTGGTGTTACTGAAATCACATTTGTTCATCAATCAGGTCATGTCATAATTCATTGCATACATTATACTTCTCATCCTCGGTATCCACAGTGGTTTCATTCCGTTCTACTCCACTAACCCCTGGGTTAATCTATGAGGAATACACAAGGTTAGGCGTTAGCCTAAATGAAAGAAGTCCATATTATGCTCAATGCATATTTATTAACAACAAATTATATAATATTATATTGATGAAGACCGGACGTTTATATAGGTTCAAGGGTTTTATTGCGAATCGATCGTTCGTTAGCAGAGTTATACGGCCACGTGATATCGTAGACAAGTTATTGTGAGTCAAATTGCCAAGTATAAGTTCAGTAATTATAAACATAACAAAATAAAACATTTCAGACAAACAACGAATAGTAATAATAGTAACAAAAGTCAAACATAATAGAATGACATATTTCAGACAAAGAACGAATAGTAATAATAATAACAAAAGTCAAACATAAAGATGTTATACATATTTGAAATCAACAACACATACTACAGATTTTGATAATACAATTAAATATAAATAAATTATAAATATAAACATTATTTACATAAATCATTCAGTAAATAGACATGAATATGGTTATCTGCCCTTATAAAAACGAAGGCGAAACGGCTGGTTTGTAAACTGTTTTTTAATTGGTTCGTAGAATATAGCTACAATCAAGGCCAGGACAGATAATTTGAAATCGTGGAAACCCTATGAATTAACCCAGGGTATAGTGGAGTAGAACGGAATGAGTACACTGGGTAACCCAGGGTATAGTGGAGTAGAACGAAACGAGATCACTGGGGATACCGAGGATGTATATTTCTCATCAGTGATTTCTGTTTGCTGAATCTGGAGATTTTTTGCCCAGTTTTGGACTTATCCAGAATATTTATGTAATTAACCAAACTCATTGTTTTATTAGTTTTAAAGCTTATGAAATTGAAATTCCTGATCATGCTGAAGCTCATATAATATCAAAGAATAAGAATCTTATTCATCTGTGTTCATCAATGATAAAATAAAATTTTCATTCCATTGAGATATTCGTTTGTGAATTTAATGGATTTGTACAAAACTAAAAATTAAATTAAAATGATTTGTATACGCTCACATTTTCATGTAGACGTATATTGTCGTCGCCCCCCCCCCTCCCCGCCCACCGTCCGTGGGAACACTCTGCAGGTCATAATTATTTTCGGATTTTGATGAAAATTAAATATATGATTAAATCCCAAAGATCTAAGTTCCTTTCGATATTCACTCATATCGGACCTTCACTTCATGGATTATGCCCCTGATTGTACGAACAATCGCGTTGTTAGCTTGTGGGACCTTTATGGGTCACATTTTTTTATCCGATTTTGCAAACCGTTCAAATATACCACCGTTACGACCAAAACTGCCCTACAAAATGGCCACTCCCCGTTCGCAAATAATATAAAAGTACGTAATACCAAGGTTGTGGACCCCTAGAGGTCACAATTTTTATCCGATTTTGATGAAACCTAAAATGTGTGTTAATATCCAACGATCTCGGTTTCGTTTGATATTGACACATGCCTGGCCGTAACATCCAGGCCCATGGCCCCTTATTATACACTGTCCATCTCTTGAAAAATGGCATGGCAACCACATTTTGAAATGGTTTTAAGATTTGTTGTTTACTGGGAAAATGATTAATTATTTTGTAGAAATTGCTTTAAGGATCAAAGTATCTTTAGAAGGGTTTACAAAAATTTGGTTTATATCCCGAATTTATTATTTTTTTAATTTTATGACAGGAGGCTGAGAATCTGTATGAAATATTTCACACCCGTAAATATTTACATAGTCGAGCGTGTATGCATGTTGTTGCACAGGCAATAGAGAGTATGTAAGTACAAATCATACAAATTTTTACCAAAACTTTGATAATAATCTTTTGTTATGGTGATAATAATCTGTTGTTGTGGTAATAATAATCTGTTGTTCTGGTGATAATAATCTGTTGTTCTGGTGATAATACTCTGTTGTTATGGTGATAATAATCTGTTTTTATGGTGATAATAATCTGTTGTTCTGGTGATAATAATATGTTGTTCTGGTGACAATAATCTGTTGTTATGGTGACAATAATCTGTTGTTATGATAATAATCTGTTGTTATGGTGATAATAATCTGTTGTTCTGGTGATAATAATCTGTTGTTCTGGTGATAACACTCTGTTGTTAAGGTGATAATAATCTGTTTTTATGGTGATAATAATCTGTTGTTCTGGTGATAATAATATGTTGTTCTGGTGACAATAATCTGTTGTTATGGTGACAATAATCTGTTGTTATGATAATAATCTGTTGTTATGGTGATAATAATCTGTTGTTATGGTGATAATAATCTCTTATGTTTTTTTTCTATTTAAACTAGGATTGTAGATGCATTGGAAATAGCTGATAAATGTAAAACTTTTACATTTCTCGGTGAAGATAAGTAAGTATAATATTGCTGTCAACGATGCATTATGTAAGATTTAAATAAAGAGCTGTCCATTCGTGCTATAATAGGTTAAAGTTAGATAAAGGCAAATGAATATATAATGCGGATATTAGCCTTTGAGGATTTGAGAAGATTTATGCCCTGATTGTAACCGCTTTACTGGTATGTGTTCTAATCCAGTGACCTAGAGAGTTGATATGGGTTTGTCATTTACATAGGGGGGGGGGGATCAAGTGGTTCAACGTGTTCGCTTGGAACCATAAGGTCTGTCATTGAATCAGGTGGCAGCTCCCGACTTTACCACAAAATAACCGTAGTCGGATCTCGCAAAATAACGGTAGGTAGCGCTAGGCGGATCGAATTTTTAGGAACTGTAGTTTGAGCTTGAGAATTAGAATTGTGTGATTTTCTGAAACTCTGAATTCTGGTTGGGAATTGCATCATCCCACCCAATGGACAGTAAAAGTCCTGGGGTTATATTTTTCTCATCATTTGGTCATTGCTTGACCGGCCCCCAAACATTTGATGTGAAGCATTGGGACAATGAGAGAATGAACCCTTTTGATTTTCCCTGTTCTCTGTCCATCTCTTGCATTGCAACCACTTGTTGACTAAAATATCATCTTGGACTTGTTTTCATGTTTGCTTATTTTTAGAATTTAAATTTCGAGCGTCGTTTTTGTAAGACACACAAAAAGGCTCCTGATGTTTATGGCTTCAGTGTCATTAAAAAATATATGCAAGTTTTTCATGGTGAAAAATATTTTTCAGTACACCACGACGTTTAAGTGAATGTATAGACGATATGGTGGCGTATAAGAAACTGGATGATACAATCTTTCAGCGAATAATGTGGTCGACAGAACCAGAGTTACAAGGTGCCAGAGATCTGATTGATAGAATCCAGAAACGTCAGTTATACATATGTGTTGGCACGGCGCAGCGTTCCGAACGTCTAGATAAGGTGACACGTTTACACGAACAGATATATTTGTTTACTTTTATAGTTTTCCTTGATTTAATAATAGTAAATATTTCAAACAAAAACAACAACAAAAAAGAAACAAAAAAAACCCAATCAAGTTCTGTTATGCCCTAAAAAAATAGATATTCTGGTTCTTGGACAGACCTCCCCACAAATCTGATGCAGGAGGTAGGTTTTTGTATTTTATACGTCCACCCTATCTCTGTGTGTGTATGTGTGATGGTGTGTGTCTGTGGATCGCCCACATGGTGAAATTCTTAATGGATTGTCTTGAAACTTTGCATACTCAATCCTTATACCCTAAAGATGACCATTTTTTGTATTTGTTTGTTTGTGGTATAACGGGGGGGGGGGGGGTTGTAGATGGCAAATGCTTAGCGCGCGTTGTATCTTAAAGTCTGCCATTGCGTCATCTGGCGTGGTTTCAATTCTCCTTTTGTACGTGACAAGGAGTAGGGTCGCTTGTCCATCTTCGTTGGTTTCCTTGGTTCCTCCGGTTTCCTCCCACTGCTAAAGACCCCTAAGCGAATTATTGAAATAAAATTGAACCATATGTTAGTCCCGAAATTACCTCGTTTGTGACGAGTGAACGGATCACCTTGAAACTTTGCATACTTATTCCTTGTACCCAAGGTCATGGTGACTATGATTTTGCTTGAGGAACAAGATCCTGTCGTCCGGGTCTAAAAAAAACCCCAATATTTATATGTGAATGCGGGAAAGAGAGGGGTGGTCTCTCCTAGTGCCACCGGGTAATATTTGGCTGTCTGGAACAAGCTAGTGTAGATTTGTAGCATATCTGATAAACGGTATATGTTTGACACTGGTTGAGCATTATGATTATAATGTTGAAAACCGCATTTAAATCGCGTGTTCTTTTGCCACTTGAGAGGGGACGCAAAAACTCAAGAGGGCCCAAAACTATGACGCAAAGCACGTCCCTCTCACTTAGCCCTTGCTTATGCCATAAGGGTCATCCCTACGGTTTTTGGTGCATGCCCAAAACCCAGGAGCAGAATGAAGCCCATGTTCTCTTTGCGTGTCAGTGTGTCGTCTACAGACTGCATTTCTTTATGAATCATACTGAAAACTGTTCATACTTATTCCTTATACCCGATTCCAAGGGACACAGCTAGGCCCAAGTTGCGCCCGTGTGTGTGTGTGTGTGTGGGGGTGGGTGTGGGTGTGTGTGTGTGGGTGTGTCGACTGGAGCCCACACTCCTTAACAGATCCTCTTGAAACTCGGTATACCCATTCCTTATACCCTGAGGACGATCCCTATTGTATTTGGTGAATGCTCAAACCCATTTTTCTTGTGTGTCTGTATGTCGCCAACAGTCCACAATTCTTAATGAATCTTCTTGGAATTTGGCATATGTATTCTGATAGCCTTAGGATGGCAACTATTGATTTTGGTGCATGTCCCGACCCCCTTGGGCAGTGTCACACCCAAGTTTTGTTAATATTGTGTCTGTAAATCTTCAGGTTGCAATTATTAACAGATCTGGACCCGTTTCGGCATTATTCATCATAGGGTTGTACCATCATATTGGTCCATGTCCACACACATTGGGGGGGGGGGGGTCTACAGGTTGGAATTCTGAATGGATCATCTTGAAACTTGACATGCTTTGAGAGTATGTTCACAGATGAAGAACTTAGCGCCCCAACAGAACCACTGAGCTGCACATGCGACACGCAACACGCAATAGCGCCATACACGTGGGAGTGGTTCATTGTCAAATTTGACACTTCGACGAAAAGTTGATGAAAACTGCCGCGTGCTGGTTTATCTATCCATGCTTGCTTTCCTATCGGTTCTTGCATAATATTTACTGTTTAGCGTATCTTTGCTTTAGTGTGTTACGTTTAATTTGATCGGGAGACGTGTTCGTCGACGTCAATGTCAACCGACAACACTTCAAGAATTGGCCGTAGCACTGCAAGAGGAGTGGGTCAGATTGCCCCAACTCGTGATTGGGGTATTGGAATGTCTGAGGATTGGTGGAGCAATTACTCAAAATCAAAAACGTCCATTTTCACTTTTGACGGTGTATCTTTTTGCGAGTGAAATCGGGTCGTCAGATAAGCCGCCAAAATAAACTGTTTATGTTCATGTGTAGGCAATTGGCCTGTTATTTACATACACTGGTTACCTCTAATAAAAAGAGCAGTGCATTTCCGCAGTTTTATATTGTTTCAGAATATCCCCTATTTTTTTTAAGAGTATATGAACCCTGGGGCGAATTCATAGCCACTTCTCTGTTAATATTTAGTCTGTAAATTTTGCGAAACAAACCCAACGGCTAGCCTTCTTTGCCCGGCCTTGTCATATTACAGTCATTGCAGTCATTTCATTCTCTTCATTTTAATAAGTACCATATTGCAGCGGGAGCGATGCTCTCGTTTACTTTGTCATAATATCGCTAATGGGATAAATAACTTCTCATAAACATCATAATTCAAGGCACTACATATCGGACCCGTTGTTTTACGAAAAATCACGTTTTTAGCTAATGAACCCTCTAGAGGTCAGAGTTTTTGCTGGAACTTGAACTATAGGTTTATATCCCAAAGATCTTGGTTCATTCGATATTGGCATGATAGATTATGTCCCCTGACTGAACGAAAATTCTTATCTTTAGTTCACTTTCAGTGAGGCAGAACTGTCTAAGAAACAGAATTTATTTTTTTATTTGGCCTTAGTTTAATTCACATCGAATACATATTCTAATATTTGTGTGAGCATTACAACTAACATTTTTATTTGACAGGAAAGGGAGAAGGATGTGCCAACGGAAATCGCTAAGTTGGATAAAACAAGTAAACTAAAACATGAACTTCTCACATTGTCGGTTAGTTTATTTATAGTTTTATCAATTTATTTATGTGTTGAAAAGTTATTCTTGAAGATGTCTTGCATGCTAATATCAAAGTACTAGCCAGTTATCTTTATTAGCCGAGTCCGGTTTTCAGATGAAAATTGTGCCACTCTATTTATCTGATTATTCAATTTATAATTATAGGATCTGAAAACTCGACTTTATATTTGATCAATTTTTTTTAAAAACTGTTTATTCAATAAATGCTTTATAATTTATTTATCTGATTATTCAATAAATATTTAGCCTACGTAATTGTGGGATTTTAAGACAAACAAATACGTTGTTTAAATAAATTATAAACATAAATTATATAAAGGTTTAAATTACATTGAATTTGTATTTAATAAAAACAAATTAAAAAACAGAAAGTAATATGGTTGGCGATAGTAAAGGCCCCGTCACACCTATTAGGAATCGAGCAGAAGCAGTCGGAATGAAGAATTCTAATAATTCGCGCCACCTTGGGGAGGGGGGGGGAGATTTCAAATTGACCAAAATTCTTACAGCTTTGTAAGAATGCCGTTCGAATACTTAGAATGCGCTTCAAACATACCTCAAATGATTCTTGCACATTTCGTGTCTATTAAAGGAGGCAAGTCACTAACTCAATATCACGACTTGTTTAGTCAATTTAAATCGACATTGATATTATCTTATTGTGAAAAGATGGGCTTCTGATATCCAATATTTAAGACAAAATAAACATTTTAAAATTGGCACAGTCCCATATAATAACTTTTCAACATCAGTGGAATTATCAGTGAAATGAAATTCGATCGTTTGTCTGTTACCGCTCGTTACTTCAGTCTGTTATATAGAAGGACAACTTGTGTTTGTCATGTTTGACGTCACTTCCCGTTTCTTCACGTGCTTGTTACTCAGCTATCGTAGCAATGATATCTGTGTTAAAATTATATTTGGGATGTATTTAACGAGCTCTATCACATATTTTATAATGACTGACACCAATATTGTCCTTTAATAACAGAAACGATTGAATGTAAATAAGTTTTTATATATGTACATTCATATTACATTATTATATGCATTGCGACCCATTTGTGTCTATTTCTATTTGGCAAAGGATGGTGATTTAGCTCCTTTTAGTCTCGAATGCAGTTCGAATGTACCTGGAACACTGTAGGAATATTTCGACTGTTGTTTAGAATGCAGTTAGAATATTTCGACTGCTGTTGGAATGCAGTCAGAATATTTCGAATGCAACTTGAATATTTCAAATGCACTTCGAATGTAACACGAATGGATTCCGATAGCAATCGAGGTGCATTCCGGCTCATTTGAGAAGCATTCGGGACATTCTGGCATGATTTGAAGTAGCTTGCCGTTTCGATTCTCCCTCCAATGCGATCAGAAATGATTTGAATGTTGTTGGAATACTATAAGAATATTTAGAATGCAGTCAGGGTGTATTTAGAATATAATTCGAATGCTATTCGATATTTCTCCACTTCGAATGCACCTCGAATATTGTGAGCATCAGCAAAACATGCGGGCCGACCACAAGAATGCAGTCAGAAGTTTTAGAATCCAATATCAAGGAATATACAAAGAATGTTCATTCCAACGGCATTCCGCCTCTTGTAGGACTAGGGTTTAATGGAAGGGTGTACGAACCCAAAGCTGATAAAGAATAATAAATATTACATAAACCGTTTTGAATCTTATTTGGCCGTTTTAACCAAAATGTTTGGTCATAATGACCACAATATGCAAAGAATAAAAATGTGACAGCCCGTGGGGCTTCCTATTGGACGTCTTAACTGCAGATATATTATACGGATACAATTCCAATATATCCTTCATTATTTCAGCGTGTTCATTATGACTATTGTATGAAAGATGAAGATCCAGTTAGATATTACAGATTTTACGAGAAACCCAAACATCATGACCCTAAAGACCATATCATTAAAAAATGTTTAAAACTCTGTGAAGACCAGGTAGGATTTTACATACGCATATCTTTGATTTTATTTATAGATAGGTTTGATTTATTGAAGTCTTCTGTGTATGCATATGTAAGTTGGGTATAAGGGGCTGAAATGTTATTTTGCATCAGAGCTGGGAGTGTTTACAACTGGGCTAGAAAGTTTTACATCAGGGGTGAAGTATATGAAACCACTTGTTGGAGAAAAACCCATGGGGTTAGGCACCCAGTCCTACCTCTTGTCAGATAGAAACCCTGTATTGAATTCATGCCTTAGTTTGTGTCAGAGTTAACGCCCCTTTATTCTAATACATCACATCTATTCTGGGGTAATTGGAAAAGCTGCTATCCAACACAAATTCCCTTCTAGCACACCGCATGGCGTATTCCAGTCGTTATCATCCCACTTGGTGCAGAAAGTAGATCTTGAAACCTCATTTCATTTTATTTCATTTCATTTCCAATATTCTTTTCAGGGCCCCCAGATGCTTCCAGCGCATTTTCAAGTAGACATGATTCGTATCTTCTGCAAGGCAAAGGATCAAGAAACCATAGAGGCTGCCGAATCAGCTTTTAAACAATGGTGTGATGACAACGAAGTGACGCCAGAGGTAGTTATTTATTGTATTGTATTGATGTTGCTATCTGGGTAAAATTCTCTGAATGGAGGAATCCTTAAGTCAAATCTGCATGATTCTGATAAACTCAGTTTCACAGAATTTACATGAAAAAAACGATCCTTTATTCTGTAATTATTTGTATATGTGAGAAAACCACGGTGGCTCATTGAGTAACGGGCTGACCCAATAAATAGGAGATCCCAGGTTTTTTTTTTACAAATTTTAATTTGTTTTATTTTTCAGACTATCAGAGGGGGTTTTAGATTCGAGAAAGCTACCAATGGGGTATTATATACATATACATTTCATTCAAATGTTTTAGATTATTTCACATCTTATAATAACAAATGTTCAAATAACAATGTATAATAACAATGTTCACGTTGTATAATAACAATTTTTTTTATCTTGTTTAATAACAATGTTCACATTGTATAATAACAATGTTCACATTGTATAATAACAATGTTCACATTGTATAATAACAATGTTCGCATTGTATAATAACAATGTTCGCATTGTATAATATCAATGTTCGCATTGTATAATATCAATGTTCACATTGTATAATAACAATGTTCACATTGTATAATAACAGTTTTTGTCTTATATAATATAATTAGAAATTCACTTTTTAATAACAAATTTGATCATCATGTTAGAATAAAAATTTACTTTTTGATAGCACATTTTCTCAACATTTTGTAATAACAAATTTTCTCAACATTTTGTAATAACAAATTTTCTCAACATTTTGTAATAACAAATTTTCTCAACATTTTGTAATAACAAATTTTCTCAACATTTTGTAATAACAAATTTTCTCAACATTTTGTAATAACAAATTTTCTCAACATTTTGTAATAACAAATTTTCTCAACATTTTCTAATAACAAATGTCCTCAACATTTTCTAATAACAAATGTCCTCAACATTTTCTAATAACAACAGTTATTAGCTACTTGTGTGTTATCTACACAAGTTAATAAGAAGTGGAATCTAGTGTTCTGGAAAGGGTACAAGAACCAAGACCCATGTATGTAAATTCACCTTAATGAAAAAATGAAATTGAGTTGAACCTCCTTTTCTGTGCCAATTGGTCTAATGAAGACCCCTGTATATGAATGCGCCTAAATGAAAAGATAGGTTGCCAAGCAACGAAACGAACACCCACAGCAGCCAAATCGTCCGCGTGGTCGACAACGGTTGTCGCATATTTATTTTTTTGTAGGTAAGACAATTTCGTACAGATCAGATTATAATTTTTGTTGTTTGAGTGTTCACAACGCTTTACAAACTGAAACAAGGGCCTCAGCTCTGGAAATAATTTACAGAAATTGTTGAAATTCGACAGTTTATTTTCGTTTTACTTACTTAAATAATGTAGATAAATTACATACAGATCGGATGATAACCCTTGTCGTTATTTGCCGCCATAAGGTTCAACAAAGTGAAACAAGGGCCATAACTCTAGAACTAATTAACTGAAATTGCTGAAATATAATTGATGCATATAAATTTCATACAGATCGGATAATAACTTTTGTCGTTAGAGTGTTCACAATGTCCAACACAGTGAAACAAGAGCGATAACTCCAGAAGAAATTAACGGAAATTATTGAAATTATTCTTCATCTCACTTGTGTAAGCAACAATATTGAAAACAATCAAATGAAAAATGTAGAATGTTCACAAGGAATTGTGGACGACGGACGTACTTCTGTACGTGCAGACGGACTGGTCGACGGCAATGAAATTGGGTTTAACGTTTTACTTGTTGGGGTGATGAAGACAGGAATTTGCCATGTAGTGTGCTATGAAGGTAATTGTGCCTTGGCAGTAGAGTTTTCGCCTACTCCCCATCACATTCCAACACTTCATTGAATTTCAACTGTCCAGGGTTCTTTTATATGCACGTCAATTATCCCTAAATGACTAGACATTGCTCCATGTTAGACCCTGTGTCCTGCACCTCTAGCAAAGGGATATCCAAAATGGACCTTCACTGACCTATAATACATCATATATCTGTATTTTACAATAATAGATGACAGGTTTCTTGTTTTTCTTTCTAGTAAACCAGCAAAGAATAAAGATGACAGATTTAAAGAAAAAGATGAAATGGACTTGAGACATTTTTGTGTGTGTGTTTTTTTAATTTATTTCTTTTAAATTATTTGCTTGAGAGTTTAAAATCTATTTATTGTTTTACAGTTTTAGTTTATATTTGTTGTATTACAGTTTTAATATATATTTATTGTATCATAGTATTGATATCTATTTATTATATCACAGTTTTAGTATCTATTTATTGTATCACAGTTTTAGTATCTATTTATTGTATCACAGTTTTAGTATCTATTTATTGTATCACAGTTTTAGTATATATATTTATTGTATTACTGTTTGAGTATCTATTTATTGTTTCTGTTCATGTTTTTACTTTTACTGGGTTTTCTCTAATTAACGGTGGAGAACTCATTAAATGGCTAGGAGATACACATTTAATAAGTAAGTTTACCCTCAAAGTTCATTAAACATACACACATACTTTATGCAAGAGCTAAATCTGCCAATTGCAGGTCTTCCTTTAGGCCTGAAATTTTATCTAATTTATTAATTAGACATTAATTAACTTATCCAGACCATAATCAGCTTTCGATGTCATCGCTAGCCTGCGATATTTTCTGGATTAGAATTTGCTGCCTAACGCTCATTGATAATTAAATGAAAACCTGGATAATCGAGACTATGTTTTTATCGTACAGACTATCACACTGATGAGCAGTGAATTTTCGCTAGGCCGCTACAATCACTGATAAGGATGACATCGATGCGACTTAATGAGTCCCATTAAATTAAATTAAATTCTAAAACATTTTTTTCATTTATTAGAAAAATAAATAAAGACGTTTGAATTATTTGTAGGTAAAAATCATTTCCTTTTTAGTGTAAATGGGTATTAAAATAATTAAAATTCGCCATTTAGCCCGAATCAGTAACGTCTTATGTAAACAATGCACGCGCTATTGAACCAATGTGTGACGCCACGTGTCGAAACAGTCATCTGTTACAGAGATATTAAAAGATCTCTGTGAAACATATTGACAGACTTTAGTAATGATGATAGAGGCTAGGCCCAAAATTCATTCGCTAAAATCTCGGTTCAGAGAGGCTCAATTTGACTGAAATTTTCCGCAAATTGCCTTTACATTATCTAGTTTTTAACTATTATAGTGAGAACTGCCAGCGCTTCCATAATGTATACATAAATGGCAAGGAACACATTTAATAGTAAGGGGACACATCTGTTGTCAATCTATAACTGTACAAGACTGCACAGTACACAATTGTCAAGCATTAATGATCTATAGAAGGGATGATAGGTACGGACAGGGATGCTATTTAAAAATTTTGCACGTCGGACATTTTTGGTTGGGGTTAACCGAATCCAGAATTCGTCGTCCGCATCAGGAAATAAGATCAATAGGCTCCCATTCCCTTTAGTGGACTTCAACTACTGTCTGAACCATCGTAAATTTTAAACGGATTTCTTCGATTATGATCAAACTACTTAACTTTGGTTATTATAAACTTACCTGTGTGTTTGAGATCAATGACAGAAATAGTATGTTTCTCATAAAGGTTTAAGAACGTCAGCATTCATCCATCAAATTGTACTGTTAGGATTGGTGATGTGCTTGTTACTCCATCTAACTGTCAGGAATCAGGGTATAATGATGGATTCGACTCGAACAATGGACACCCATATCACCAGCTTATGTAAGGCAGCGTCGCACATGCCTGATTTTTCCCAGATGACAGAAATATTAGTTGCTTGTTTTGGTTTGATTGTATAATCTTTTGATAATATATTGTCTCTAAATCTTTTAATAATATATTGTCTCAAAAACTTTTAATAATATTTGTCTACTGTCTCAAAATCTTTTAATAATATTTTGTCTCAAAATCATTTAATAATATTTTGTCTCTAAATCATTTAATAATATTTTGTCTCTAAATCATTTAATAATATTTTGTCTCTAAATCTTTAATATTCTGTCCCATACAATTCAATTGTTTATATATTTGTGTTTGTTTTAAAATATATTTCATGATGAATAAAGTAGCCTTCTTATACTTTAATTGTGTTTGTGTTCATTGGTTAAAGCTGAGGAAGTTTTTATAAAGCAAGGAATGAAGATTGGTTCAGCGTGGGTCAAGACATTGCAGTTCTGTGTCAAACCTGGACATAAGGCACCCGTCATAGACTTGGTAAGACACAAATTGTCACACAACATATGTACTCAAACAAAAATAGGGGATATTGAAATGCAAATACCTATGCAGGTTGTGATATGATAAATAGTCATCAACACTTGAATGGTTTGAGAGTATGTTCACAGATGAAGAACTTATCGCCCCAACAGAATCACGGAGTTGCATGGGTGACACGCAATAGCTCCATACACGTGGGAGGGGTTCATTGTCAAATTTGACACGTCAAGGAAGGGTTGATGAAAACTGCCGCTTGCTGGTTTATCATATCTATGTTTGCTTTCCTATCTGTTCTTGCATAAGATTTTCTGTTTAGCGTATCTTTGCTTTAGTTTAATTTGATCGGGAGATGTGTTCGTCGACGTCAACGTCAACCGACAACACTGCAAGATTTGGTCGTGGCACTGCAAGAGGAGTGAGTCAGATTGCCCAGAATCGTGATTGGACGGTTGATTAGGAGCATACCACGACGAATTGCTGAATGTCTGAGGATTGGTGGAGCAATTACTCATTATTAAGACAAAAATAAAAAACGTCCATTTTCACTTTTGACAGTGTATCTCTTTGCGAGTGAAATGGGACCGTCAGATAAGATGCCTATATGAACTGTTTATGTTCATGTGTAGGCAAGTGGCCTGTTATTAACATACACTGGTTACCTCTAATAAAAACAGCAGTGCATTTCTGCAGTTTTGTATTGTTTCTGAATGTCCCCTACGTTTTCGAAGAGTATATTATAATATAACGGTGTGCGATAATTTTTGTCCGGCAAATGTACGTTGTGTGATCATTTGTACCGGACGAAGTCTGTGAAAGGTGCTTAATGATCAGGCTTGTTCTTAGTTCTGTTCTGGGAGGGACACATTTATGTCATGTACGTTTGTCTTAGTTTTATTATAGGAGTAGTGGCGCATGCTGGATAATTTGTAAGAGGGGGCCCGGGGGTTCTGCGAGAACATTTTGATAAACCGGGGTGTTAACATATGGTTCAATTTTATTTCAACTGTCTTTAAAGAGGATATGCAGTATTTGCTTTAAATATCTAACTGAACATCCAAGTGAATGTTTTTTAATTGAATTGTTTTACAGTTTTAATATCTATTGATTGTTTCTGTTCATGTATTTTTTTTTACTGGGTTTTCCCTAGATGCTAATAAAGGGTGGAGTACACATTTAATAGCAAGGGGGCACACAATTAATGGTCAGGGGGCACACAATTAATGGCAAGAGGGCACATTTAATGGCAAAGGGGCACACATTTAGTGGTAAGTGGGCAAACAATTAATGGCAAGAGGACACACAATTAATGGCAAGGGGACACACATTTAATGGCAACGGGGCACACTTTAATAGTGAGGGCAATCTGTATGAGAGTGCTCAATAATCAATGATCTAAATTGTCAGTAGAGTGAATAATTTATCTGCTTCGGAAATAGATAAGAACCATTTAATTCAAGTATTAATATAGATTGCTACTAATAGACATTTAATATTTATTTAAGTATTGTATGAGTCAGATTTTTAAAAATATTTATTGAAATTATTTCTTCGTGAATATTCATGTTTTGAAGTTTAAGATAAAAGGTTTATGATTCAATCATTTTTTGTGAAAATTCTGGGATAATGATAATAAAAGTTAACCTTCACTCCCCTTTTCTTTCTTTCTTTTGTTTGTCTTCAAATGTTACGATATATAAACATTATTATTTAGTTGACAGGCCGATATTCAAATCTCTATCGGATGGTCATGATATTGAATGGATTAGAGCACACTCGCTATTTGATCAATTAACGTTAAAATGGATAATCAAGACTTTGTTTATTATCGTAACAATGGTACTTGACAATATTGATTATCCAGTCACAACTTCAAGATTGCTGCCATAGGCCATTTTCTGGTTATTTAGTGGGGTAAAATTTGTGACAGATTCTCTCTGACATCGGTTTGAAGTTGGTTTCTATGAGAATTTGACCTGTTGAATCCAATGAGCTTGGATATTCCTCCTAAAATGACGACTATTTCCGCTAGGGGTCCAAATCAAAATGGGGGCTTATTTTGTTGGGAAACTAATAATAAAGTTCCCTAAAAGTGTGTGTGTATTATGTATGGTTTAATGGTCGAGAGCGAGACATTAAGTAATATATTGATACTGCACGAGGCGTTAGTCGAGTGTTGTTTCAATATATTACGCAATGTCTTTAGCTCGAGACCATTAAACCACTTAAAATACAGACACTATCCCGCACGTGTTTTTCGATGAAATACGTCACGAGAGTCCAATATTTCATCTAATATAGATAATGTACGATTGGCAAGTTGGTACCCCAAATAATGGTACGCCAACATCAAAGGATGACGTCACATCTGTATTTTAAATTGAGATATGGGTTATCGGTGTGAATTACTTAAGATATAAACATAAAAACGTGTTCTGACCAAATGTGAAAATGTGAATGGTGTTTGTTAGTAGTGGTGACGATGTGGGTGGTGTAGTGTGTGGGTGGTGTAGTGGTGACGATGTGGGAGGTGTAGTGTGTGGGTGGTGTAGTGGTGACGATGTGGGTGGTGTAGTGTATGTTAGTGGTGGTGATGATGTGGATAGTGTAATGTGGGTGGTGTAATGTGTGTTAGTAGTGGTGACGATGTGGGTGGTGTAGTGGTGGTGATGATGTAGGTGGTGTAATGTGTGTTAGTAGTGGTGACGATGTGGTGATGATGTGGATAGTGTAATGTGTGTTAGTAGTGGTGACGATGTGGGTGGTGATGATGTGGGTGGTGTAGTGGTGGTGTAATGTGTGTTAGTAGTGGTGACGATGTGGGTGGTGTAGTGGTGGTGATGATGTAGGTGGTGTAATGTGTGTTAGTAGTGGTGACGATGTGGGTGGTGATGATGTGGATAGTGTAATGTGTGTTAGTAGTGGTGACGATGTGGGTGGTGATGATGTGGGT